AGTCATCTTTAGTATAAGATTTTAAAAGACAATTAAATATTTGTCTTCCCAAATTTAATAGTAAAAAGACAGACAAAAAAGGGTCTTTTTACAGTATAGTAAATATCACCATGGTAAAGTAGAATTTGTGAATTGACTTGAAATAAACAATAGACTTATTAACTCTGTTTGAGTATGTATTTTGAAAAGTATTTGTCATAGTGAGTATGATAGTAATGATGTAGATAGTTTTTATTATAAAATAAAAGTAAGGAGAAATGCAAGATAACAAAAGAATAGAGAATTACCACAGGCCTTTCCTTATATAACCAAAGGATAAGCAGGACTCACAAACTTCAATAAACTTTGACCAGAGATCCCATCCCACTGTATCAATGGTTTTAAAGATCTTGAGTTTCCGAGCTGAGGCTCACTTGTGATAAAGAAAGTAAAATAAGTTTTCTTGTTTAAAATTACTATGAAAGGAAAATTTTTAAAAAAACGGATGCAATTAAAAGAAAGTAATATTATTATCAACTATATAACATACTTATTATTATTTAATCTAATCAATATTATATATTTAAATTATATTTTTTGTGATATATATTGTTTATATTAAATTGGCAAGTTTGTCACTAGTGGCAGCAAGAACTTGCCATACATCAAGGTTGGGTTATGTCTTTTTGTTTTGAAAAAAGCGAATAAGACTTTGACTAATCACTTTCTTCTCTCTTTCACTAATTACTGTTCTTTCTTTTCTGTCACCATTCATTTTCTCAATAATTCTTCCACAGTTCCCTTTAGTGAATTCCTATTATTCTTTTCTAATTTAATAAGTACTAAAAAGGCAAGTTTTTTAATTAAAAGATCCTTTATTAGTGAAGCGACTCTTTTTAATAATCTTATTATTTTTCTCTTTATTAAAATTGTTCTTTTTTGTTTCCATACTTTTTCACTTCTATTTATATTATTATCTCTATTATGAACTAATGTGCTATAAGACTATGATGCTATGACTTATAGACTATCAAACTATAAAATAAACTATCTAAGCTTTTATGATGACACATAACTATTTTTTAGAATATTATCACTATTTCAATAAGTCATATGAACAAGAATCATATTGCCAGGTCTTAGTTAAGCAGATTTCTTACCAACAATATATGAAATACCATTATAGTTTTCCAAGAAATTATATTATAAATAATGTATAAGCAGGATTATATTCAAAAATTATGAATATTATTACATAAAATTATATCAAATAGGAATAGCAATTGTTTTTATTATCAGCAAGTCTGTTACTAAAATAATTTACTTTTTGTGTATTAATAATCAAATGCTTATATTTTGATACTAAATAAGATAAGGTTTTAACTTTGAGATAAATTATATTTGACCAACTTTTGCACACTTGCTAATTTCTTTTGACTATTTTTTTCTAGGCATATCTCAAGATTACAAGAGTTACTCATTATAATGTATAAAGATAATATTACGTCTCTCTTACTTTTAAATTATTTACTTTACTGTAATAGTATAGACTTAGTTTATACTTTAAAAAATATAAATTAATTTTGTAAAGTTGTAGTATTTATTTAATAAAGTAAATAAAAGTAAAGAGTATTCTCAAACTTAAAGCTTCAAGTTAAACTCTATTCTCTTTATCAACTATATAAAACTATCCTTTTTGTTAAAGAAAGTGAAAAAGGTAGAAGAAACTAAATCGAAATCCAATAAAAAGAAAACAGAATTAGACAAGTCTTTGGATTCACTAGGTGACAAAATCAAGAAGAAAAATATTACTCTTAATAGAGAAAATAAATTACCAAAAATAACAATAGCAATAGCAGTAGTGATCAAAGTATTAAAGTTGAAAATAAGAAAAGTTTAAATATTACCAATAAATCAGATGATAAAAACATTATAAATTCCATATTACCAACACTATTAGCTGGTGATAATGGATTTATATTACTTCTTTAATCAATTAAAATATGTCTTATCTACTGTCTTAATCAAATCCAATCTCACCAAAATCATATTCAGCACTACAGAATTTAAGCAGTAAGTTTATTTTATCTTATTCCAATAATATGTTTTTATTATTCTTACCTTTAAAATCTCTTTATGTTGAAATTATTAGCAAGCCAAGAAATGTAAAGTCTAATTTCTTAGTGAAATATTGAATAATAAATAAGTACAAGCCATGCAAATTCAATAGTCAATAGTATACATGTTGTTGAAATTTGTAGATCCTTGACGCAATTGACGCAATTATTTGATGCAATTAATTGAGTCACTATTAAAACATATAAATAATTGAGTCATGACGCAATTATTTTTGAGGATTTTGGGAATTGAGTCAATAGCAAAATAATTTACACCACATGTATAAGTTTAATGCTAGCTTGCCTACAGAAATCATATGACTAATATTGAAAATAAAATTTAAAACAATATGTCTTGTCAGGTAGTACCAAGCGGCTATGTTTACCTACTCAATATTAGGAGAAATAAGATTGGAATAGCTTTGGATTAGATTAGTAATATATTTGGAGAAGTTGAAATTGCTTTGAATATAAATGTCTGTGATCAGAGTAGATAGATCAATTGTTGTCGTTGTTGGCTCTTGTATGGATGGAGATTTTTGTGAATTTGATTTTATAGTTGCTTGGTTGTTGTTAATTGTATCGTTGAAGGATTTGTCTTTCCATTTTATACCATTTTGTGGAGAGATATTGGCTGTAGCACATCGTGGTTTCCATATGGTTGCATTAGAGCTTCAGTCAATGTTTGTATCTACTTGTTAAGGTCTGATGATAAGAAGATACCATCAGTGATACCACATGCTAGCTTTACAACCTGTCATATGTGGTTTATCAGTTTTGAATCACCATTGAGGTGGAGAATAAGGTTGGTTTGTTTAATAATTTAGTTAGCCTCTTCTGAAGCTATTGGACATTTGAATATATGTTGTATACTTTCAGTGCGGAGTTCGCATCATGGACAGTAGGAATCAGAGTATTGGTCTGGATATTGTTGGTGAAGATTTTCTCATGTGGGAAGAGTTACTGACATAAGTTTGATGCGAAAGGCAATTAGGTTGCTATATTTGTTGCTTCGTGTATTCTTCAAGTCTTTATTAGATTTGTTGATAATTTTAATGCCTTGAGAACTGTGAGAAGAGTTGAATGTTTTTAGTACTGATGAGCTTTCTGCTATTATACAGTATATGCTTTGGAGATACTGAGAATCTTTTTGCACCATTTGACATTACTCCCCAGTTGAGAGTTGTTGATTGGAGAATTTTCTAAGAAGTACAATATTGGATTGTTTCAGTTTATGGTATTGTTGACTCTTGGGTTTGACTTGGGGCTGGAATAGGTAAGAGGTATTATTTTCTTGAATATCATCTTGTTGATTTTTTGGATGATTGAGAAGAAGTTGACTTTCGTTATTTTTCTAGAATAGTTAGAGATCTCTTGGAGTATTCTTTTGTTATTTCTTATTTTGATTTCACTGTTGGAAGGGCATCAGTGAAGAAGGTCAAAGAGAACTTGCAGTAGGTTGCCAGGTGAAAGGCCAGGATTGTTTAATTTGATTTTGAAGTCATTTACAAAGATATATTCCTAATAACTTTGAATATAATATAACTGAAGAAAACCAATTTTCTGAAATATTGAGATAGGAGAGGAGTTAGAGAAAATGTCTACTGATTGGAGAATATGTTTATTTTTTTGGGGAGTTCTTGAGATCTCTTTGATTATATTGCTTAGGTGATACTTGTTAGGATTTGAAGGGTTGGAGAGGACTCGTAAGGAGAAAGCTTCTGAGCTTGTGAAGTTTATTGTACAAAAGCCAGCACTTGGGATACCAGCTGGGCAACCGTTACATTTGATAAGAAAATTGTTGTTATCTATGTTGAAGTGTCTTCCTCTAAGATGGAGATTTTTCTGAATATGATAATGTCTCTTGTAAATTTTGACAATATTGTTAGTGTTGTGGATAAGCCAGAAAAATGCTTTGTGATTAGATATTGGTCTGTGAAATTTCAGTAAGTTGCTGTGATTAATAAAGTTTTTGAACCAGCAGGGTTCTGGTCCACAGCAAATAATTCCTGTGTAAGCTATTAGTTGGAATCAGGAGAGTTTAATCATGCTGTTGAACTTCATAAGTTGATTTATAAACTGGATATTGAGAGCATTGGCAGTGTTTATTGCAATAGTTCTGGTGTTTGGTTGAGGTTTGGCTAGTAGAAGGCCTATTGAGTTTATCATATTTAAATGATGGTTTGGACATTCAGCTGGACAGATTTGGATTTTTAAGTTTTTGGCGATTCTGGCAATATAGAGTATCCAATTATCTTGATTAAATACTTTTGGATCACATATTGGGCAGGACTATATATGTTACTAAAATTTGTAGATCCTTGACGCAATTAACGCAATTATTTGACGCAATTAATTGAGTTACTATTAAAACATATAAATAATTGAGTCATAACGCAATTATTTTTAAGAATTTTGGGAATTGAGTCAACAGCAAAATAATTTATGCCACATGTATAGGCAGGACCAGATTGCTTTTTTTCTTTGTATTGATTGTATTTCCTGTATTATATATTTTCTTGTAGTTGGAGTGAAGAGTTTGGTTATTAGATTACCTATTAGGGATGACCTTTGTCTTTCTTCAAGGAGTGCAATATTGAGGCTGCTGTGGCTAATAAGTATTGTATTTTGCATTTCGAGTTTATTTTGTATGCTGATTTAATAAGTTTGTTAATTTTTGTCTGTAGGTGATTGAGTATGGATTTGTTGAGGAAGGTCATTGTGAGAAAATATTCGAATTTTCCTATAATTACCCATTCGCATATTTGCTGTTTGATTTGACCTTTCCAATTTTGTTTGTTTAGTTCTTATAAAATTGTATCCACTGATTGGCTGAAGGCTTTTCTATTGGTTTTGAGAAAGTTCCTAGGAGAAATGAGCATTCCTAGATATTTTACGCTTTGATGTGGTTTTAGGACTTGTATTTGATAGTTGCTGAATTTTATAGTATTGAATATCCCCTGTTTGGTCTTGACATTACTTATGATTTGGGTTTTATCTTTATTGCAGGTAATGTTATTAATTGAAAAGAATTGATTGGCAATTTTTAGGAGGTTTTCTATTCTTGGTTTGGAGTCTGCAATGAGCGCAAGGTCATCCATATAGGCTAGCGTGTTAGGTGCAACATAGTTCTGGATGGATTGTTGTTTGGATAATTGCAAAATTAGAGGATCATAAAATATTACCCATAATATGGGAGATAGTGTTTCACCTTGTTTAACACCATTGTTAACCGTAAAGGGTTTAGTTGCTCCAGAAGAGGTATTAATAGATACTTTTCTGTTGTTAAGCAAGTTTATGAACAGGTTGATAATAGAATTTGTGCAGTTAATTCTTTTAAGGAATTTTTTGATTGCGGGGATGAGTGCTAAGTTGAAAGCTTTTGCTATATCTAGAGACGCAAACCAGAATTCCTTGTTGTTTGTGTTGACAGCTTGTAAGATGGAGTTTACTACTGATAGTGATTCCATGGTGCTTTGATTGGGCAGCCCGGCACAGTTCAGTTCAGAAAGAATATTGTTGTTTTTGAGGATTTTGGTAAATCTCTTGTTGATAATTCCTGTGAATACTTTTCTGGTTGAGTCAACCAAGGATATTGGTCTAGTGTCGTTGAGTTTGTGGCTCCACATGAGTTTTTTGGGAATGAGTGTGATGATAGTTTGTTTTCATAATTCAGGAATTTGTGAAAATGTTAGTATGTGATTAAAGATAGTAGAGATATAAAGGATGGTTTTTTTACCTATAAGTTTGATAATGTCATAACTGATTCCAGACATTCCAGAGGCTTTGTTTTTGGGAAGATTGTGTATTGCTTCGTAAATAGTTGTGAAGTCGAGAGGTTGGACTAGGTCATTGTATATTTCTTGGTTAATCGCTTTAGTGGAGTATTCATCATGCCAGCTTGGAAATTTGTCCAGGTCGAAGTTTCTTACTTTCAGAATATTCTTGAAGTATTTGTTAATTATTTCTTGAATTGTTTCTGAGTTGTTTTCGATTTGGTCATTGTCATCATAGATTCAATGGAGATCAATTTTTAGTTTAATTGATCCCAAGGCCTTCTTAATATAATTTTTGGGTTTGTTATAGAAGTTTTCAACTAAGTTTTCTATATTGGAACAGTATTCTTCTATAAGTTCTTGATATGATTGACTCAGTGCTTCTTTGATTAGAAGTTTTTTGAGTTTTTGTAGACCTTTGGTTAAGATTCTATTGTGATAATTTGTGATTTGTAAAGTTTGCTAAGTTCAAGATTTAGATTGGATGGGGGATGACTGTTTTTGAGCTGGATCATGATTTTGTTTATTTCTTTGGTTTGTTTTTTAAGCTTCTTTTCTGCAGCAGTGCAGTGGTCTTTTTGGGTTGAATTAAGGTGGATTTTTTTGATATGTTTGTTTAAGGAATTCTTGCAGATTTCATTAAAGCTTTCCCAATCCAGTGACGATAACAAGTTTAACCAGAAGTCTAGTTTGTTGATGAAGTCATAAATTTTTTCTTTGGATGTTTTATCAATACTGAACTTATAGGTAGGTTTTATTTTTTGGAATTCAAAGTAGTCTAGTTTGGTTGAAACTGTGTTGTGGTCTGTAGGAATGATGTCTGTGGTTTGGACCTCATACCAAATTATTTTGGAAGCAAAATTTTTTGATACCCATGCTTGATCAATTCGGAAGGCACTTGTGGTAGTAATGTGAGTAAATGCTTTTTTGTTGAACTGATAACCAATATCCACATAGCTGTTCAAGAGTTTATAGACCAGTTGTTTGTGAGGTGATGATGTAGCTCCGATAGATGGGCTGCCTTTGGGGTAGGAATTAAAGTCTTTTAATATGATATGGTGAAGTTTGTGACGAATTGCAAATCTAGTGGTTTGGTGAA